AAAGAAAGGTGACTTTTGTATATTACTAGCTTGTAATGCTCTTTGCGTCAAACACGCTATAGAGATTATGAAGAGATTAACAAAAGCGACTCAGTTATTTAGCCGTGAAAAACATGGACCCATAGTAGATAGAAGGATAGTAAAAATCGAACAGACTTAATTTTTTTTTTATTCAACTTAGAATGGCTAACAAGCTGACGGCCCACCTGATGGAAAGTGGTAATTGTCGCCTATAGACATGAGCAGTAACATCGACATAATAGAGTATACTGTTACCCACGCCGTGCCAATTTCATGTATTTGTGGTAATTAATAATATTTATAAACGTATGCATTATTTGATATTATACATTGATAGTTTACATCCATGTTACGTTATGTTATGGAGATATTATGTATTGTGTGAGGTGCAAGGTTCCTTTAATAAAACCATTATATAAAGTGGACAATATTATGAGAAAAACAATCGTAAAAATTGGTGTAAAATATGTATGTCATACATAGTTTTATAAAAATTTAAAGGGTTACAAAGCGGCCAACAAAAGATCTAGTAAGTACCATATATCTGATATTAGGCTAATATCGTCGTACTTACTATACCAGAATTACTACACCATATAGCATTCTATAACTTTTACCAGAATTTACTTGTATTTATATTATTATCCTGGAAGTCTCTTAAATGTCTAACAGTTTATTTTCTGGGCCCATAACCTTTATATACTTTAAGTCAGCTAAATATATACAATATTGAAATAGATATAATAAATATATAGGAAATGACTAAAATAGAAATGTTTAGGATGTTCGCAGTAGTAAATAAGTACTTATACTTTTACAATAACAAATAATAAACTATAATTACTACTATTATTATCTAATATCAACATCAATCAGAACCTAGGCACCTACAAATCTTACAAAACTACAATGTCGACATCACGAGACAAAATAGTAATCATGTAGATATAACGAACACTTCGCGTGTTCGCAGTCTGACAGGCCCAGTTAGTGTGTAGATACATGTGTATCTAACTCTGATGATGTCAAGTTCACGAACCCTAATGAATATATTTATAATTTGAATAATGATCGCTAAAGATAAACAACAGTTCCGCTAACAATTAAATATAATCACTATACCTACTTATGTAATTGTCGATAATGAGAAATATGTGTTTATTAAAAGGCCTATTTTATTATGAGCAGACTTTTGTCTCACGTGTCTAATTATTATTTATTTCGGAGACTTCAAAAATACGAGATTGCAATTCGTCTATATCCTCTATTTTATATATAAATAAAACAAAGTTGGGTCAGTTACACCATTTATAGCTCCAAAATGGCTGGCCAGATTTTAATGATGTATAATTTGTTGGATAACTATTAAAATATCGGAAAGATTCGCGTAAAAAAAAAATAAAGAAAAAATAATTTTAAACTGTTAAGCGGCAAATAAATTCCCAAAAAGTGTATTTTAATATGTAATAAACATTTTTTAAATAAACTCCTTGTTTAATTTCTTATCGATTTTTTAAATGTGATCTTTCTTTGAGTCACCGTGTATATATATATATATATATATATATATATATATATATATATATATATATATATATATATATATATATATATATATATATATATATATATATTCCCTGTAAATTAATTTATTTTAGCACAGGTCGCCATTATATAGCCATAGTAATATTAGTAATATGTAGATATATTGGAGCGAGATATACAATCAAGAGTAATCATGACCATTCATGACCAAGTTATATCGTATCTAACTGTAACTATCGTATATAACTGTGAACAAATTTGTTTATATTGACTTATCAACGGACTTTAAAATAACATTAATAACCTAATTATGGTTACACGTGCGTTTGTAATTGTCAATCAATATGAAAATTCACTAAATACAAGTATACAATACATTCACACTGATGTATCGCCCTAAATATCTTTCTATCACCCTAAGGGATGTTCAAAAATAAAGTGGACTAAAGGCAAATCAATTTATCGATAAATAACTAAAAACACACAGGGTTTATAATTGATAATAATGGTATGGTAACCGGGGGAAAAGGGATTGTTAGTAATGGAGACTTAGAATCCTATTGCTAGCAATATACCCAACCAGGTCGACCTCCTCGTGGTTCTCCCTGGAAACTATCATGGTTAATTTCTGATGAATTCATCATGATGGGCTGACTGGCCTGTTTTCATTCTCATTTATTACCCTTCACTGGTGCTCCGCCAACGTATCCCGTTAGCGCAGGCGGAGTTACCATACCATTTTCACCCATTAAAAAAATGGTATGGTAACCTGCACTAACGGTATACACTAACGAAGCACCAGTGAAGAGCGATAGGTGAGAATAAAAAATGAGGTCAGCTAACCCATCGTGATGAATATACCTCAAATTCAGCATGATGGCTTCCTGGAGGGGCCACGTGGAGGTCGACTTGATTAGGTATATTGCTAGCAATACGACTAGTATTCTGCATTATGAACAATCCTTCCTTCCCAATACACAGAGTTATCTATGAACAATGGCAGTCATGGAATTCCTTGGACATATAACCAAACGATATCCGAACACCCTAGAAAATCGGGGGGAAAGAGATTGTTAGTAATGGGTTCTAACAGTCCCATTGCTAGCAATATACCCTATCAGGTCGACGTGGTCCACGTGGTTTCCCCTGAAAACCATCTTAATTAATTTAGTTAATTCTTGTCGAATTATTCACGATGGGCCGACTAACCTGCCTTCATCTTCACCTGTCATCTATCACTGGTGCCTCGCCAGCGTATACCGATAGCGCAGGTAGTGTTATCATTCCATTATCGTGAAGCAGTTGTGTTTGCATGGCTGTGTTTCGGTTTGAAGGGTGGGATATGACGTGAATTTACTGAGTACAGAGGAATAACACCCGAGTTCTCAGGAATGGCAACGCATGGGGGGTATCATGGGCAAAACAGTATACTCTGTTATGTCCATGGTACTGCTCATGTCTATAGGCGACGGTTACCACATTCCATAAGGTGGGCCGTCAGCTTGTTTGCCATTCTAAGTTGTATAAAAAAAATAATTAAAAAAAATTAAAAGCCTGGTAAATCTGTAAAGGAGTTTTCTAATGATATGAAATGGATGATAATGGAATGGTAACATTGTCTGTGCTTTTAGAACACATTGATTTAAAATACTGAATGACAATATAAGACGAAATCAGCTCAGTTGACCCATCGTGAAATTGATTTCACTAGAAATTAAGGTCTCGAGAAGGGACCAATAGTGTATATTGCTTATGTAATTCAAACTCATTCTAACAATTTCTTGAACAAAATACATAAAAGCAATAATTACAATATCACGCACTTGTCTTTATCTCGCTATTTGCGTTCTGTATCCGTGGTCAGACCGGGGGTCAGGGTACATACGTCATACGCATCGTCCTAAGATCTTACACTACTTAGGGTCGCTAAAGCATGATTTGTGCGTGACTCTCGAACAGTAATTTTTTTAACAATATAGGTATTATTATATTTGTAAATTAATTAAAATTCAACTTCTCAAACTATATACATAAGGTTCAAAATTGAAGAACATGATCACTTTGTTATGTCGTTCATGTTCTAAAGGCCATTCGAATGACGAAGTAAACAAACAGATCGTTGATGATTTAATAGAACTAGGTAATATTAATTGTCAATCTTAATATATTATACTATATTATTATAATACCAATATGGCCTAATATTGAAAATGTGTGTTTGTTTGTTACCTTATAACACCTTAACGGCTTAACCAATAACTACTCGTATAAAATTTGGTATACACGTACGGTATGAAATACAGAAGGATATAGGATACTTTTTATCCCCGAGAATAAAAATATCCCAGTCATATGGACGAAGTCGCGGGTGAAACCTATATATAATAAATCTAAAAATATATATCTTTACATAACAATAGATATAGCAACACAAAAAGAGGAAAAATCGTTTAACAAAATAGAAGGAAGTTCTATTTTGCATTTATACATGCTTTATGTTTACATATTTTCAACCGACTTCAAAAAAGAGTAGGATCTCAATTTGATTATTTTTTTGTTTGATACCTCAATATTCCGAATTAAAAGAATGTGTAAACCGATTTGGAAAGTCTTTTTATTTGTAAGTATATATTTTAAATTTTATGATCTAATATAGCTTAGTAGTTCGTTTTCACACAAATTCATTATTTATATAATTAAATTTTTAAAAAGAGCAACAGCTAAATTCTTGTCCGTTCCTCTCGGCTGAAATTGCGTTACAAATGGGCGGTAATGAAAAAATGTATATTTAAAAATGCTTGAATCTTTACGTTTACTGAAATAACAGTTAAACTTTAAGTTAAATAAAAATATTTCTTTCTTTCTTTCTATAGTTTCAGTTCAACCCATAGAAATTTTATCAAAGCCGGTTCTGTAATTTAGTTTTTACATCAAAATAACTTGTTCTTCAATGGTTCAGTCTTGAATTATCAATAAATATTTACCTCAATTATTCCTACTTAGACATTCTATATTATTGAGAACTATACAGTTAAAAAGGTGTAGCAAAGATATGATGTGTGATGATGATACTTAAATATCTTTTAAGCAAATCTCTCATAAATTTAGCCCAAATCAACCAACCAAATCGAAATGATAAAAAGGGCTTAATTTATAAAAAGGAAATTCAATAAATTAACGTATCTTTCCACATTCGTTTGACCAATATATAAAACCTATGCAAATTAGAATGGAAAGGTAAAGTGAATGCAATATAAAATGATTCCTAATATTATATGGATAGAGAATATAATACTTTGACAATCGACCACCATTTGTCCAAAGGTCTGTCCAACACTCCTGTGTGTAACCACGTATGAATTTTCACTATACAGTCATAGTCCATTTTAAACAGGACGGTTTGAATTAATAAAAAAGGAGAAAAATAAAACATCAATAAAATAACTTGTGTTGTCTCTTTTGTGTTTATTTCTTAATCAAGATTATAATAATTTGGATTTTTTATATCAACTAAAATTAAATCCCGTGTGGTCCCGGCATAGAATAAGTCACCACTTCCTTTCCCGTGGGTGTCGTAAGATGCGACTAAGGGACGGCAAGGGATGGGCAGCAGCGTCCCTATTAATATTCCCTCCATCTCCAAAGCCTAGCTGCGGTTGCTAACCCGCGCTGTGCAGGCGCAGCGCGGCAACTACTGGCAAAATACCCCTACGGGAAGGTTTATATTCAGCAATGGAGAGCAAAGCTGATATGATAATATCAGCTAAAGCGTCATATTTGAAACGAAATATCAAATATAATGTGGCAATTAAAAAAAATAAATAAAGACGTTTACTTTTTATTTCTCTATGATAAAAATAATAAGGCAGTAATAATCACAATATTTGGTGTATTATTTACACCTACATACACTATAGTTCAGTCTCTCTTATCTCAAATACCGGTTTATCGGTTTTCACATTTTCCTTATCGATCATTGTTTTTTTACATTCACTAACGGAAGCATCATTGGCACACGCGATAGAACTCGCGCTACGTTTCCTAACTGGACTGTCTTTACTTACAACATTGTTAACACTCTTTAGCGGCGATCGTGAACTCGATTCTTTATCGACAGCTAGATTACTAATCGATAAAGTCAAATCGGATGGCACATTCCCGTCGAGACAGTACAATAGGGAATCTGTAATTTTCTCCTCAGTATCGTTCGATTTATTCAACATCGATAAATCGACAGGCGTCGCGGTTAAGACCGATCTACTCATTAAATATTCTCTAAACGGTTCCGTGAGTGATTTCGGTTTTTGCTCAGTGAAGTTTGTCACTTCTTGTGATACTTTGAACATTGGTATTGGTATGCCATCTTCGCTGCCACAGAGTGTCGTGTTCAGGTCCTGTACTATATTTGGCCTCTCATGGCTAATCACAAACCTAGTATTCTCGGGACGGAGAGGACTAACATCACCGACTGATACAGAACGGACATCGTAAGACTTTCGGGTTCTTGAAGTGCTTGCCGAATGATTGGATCTGAAATAGATAATAGATAAGATACATATAAAATTATACACTTTCCAAAGTTTAAATGTTGCCGACACAAACTTTACTATTAAATGTCCGATATTTAATTTTATTTATTGATGGTGAAAAACACCATTAATAAACAAAATTAATTTAACTAACAGCGGTAGGTTCATCCGAGGACAGGTGGGATTCAAAAATATTCGGAAACATGTCGGTATATCGCTATCACGATTTACTCACACGCGATCACGTTTTAAAATTTAAAAATGCCCAACTAGTTTTGAAGTCGATAGGAGCCCTTATTCAAGAGAATGCTTGGCATATACTCAATGCATACAAACAGATATATACACAGTTGTATAAAGTATAACTCAATGACAGTATGATAGTATTATTTATGCGTTGGTAACCATACTATTTTATGTTTTGTTTTTGTACATGTAGTCAATAAGGAAAAAATAAATAAATGCCTATGACTATTTTGTTTATTTTCTCTGCCTACATAACTTGTACGAGGTTTGGCATGTGATGATTGTACACAGTGCTAGTAGCTACCGGAGAGCGACACGGGGCAGTACCCCGGAGCCCCCGAACTGAGGGGAGCCTTCATAAACTGACTTCCTAACTATAAATTGAAAATTTTCTCCGACATTCATAATATAAGTTCTTCAAAAGGAAGGTAAAGAGGTTTCTTCAGGGTCGGCAACACGCGTGTAATACCCCTGACATTGCAGGCGTTCATAGGCTACGGTAACCGCTTACCATCAGGTGTGCCGTATGTTTATTTGCCACCTCAGTGATATAAAAAAAAACAAAACCAGATTCCAGCAACGCGAAATTTAATAATGGTAACTTATTTAAAAAAAAAATACGGGGGAATTCGCAAAAGGTCTCGAACACCTTTATTTAAAACTTGCAGGGAACTCTCCTGTATTCTTAGACTGGTTGCACAATTGCGCCTGTGAACAGCTCGTTTGAACAGCACGCGCTTGACGACATATCTGGAATACGTCGAATTGAGAACACGACGAATACGGAACAAACTATTTTAAACAGTTGGGGCCCTATTTTATTTTTTATCCCAGGGTCTTTGGTTGCCTAGCTACGTCACTGATTGTACATTATGTATAAATAGATAATAATCTTAATATTAAATGGTATCAGTATAACAATTGCTGAGAAAAATAGATCATATTATTGAAATGAATAAATTGTGTTTAGGAGGCATCATATAAGATTGATCGTTTCAAATAGCATTGATAATGATAATGATGATAATGATAATGATGATAATTATAATGATGATAATGATAATAATGATGATAATGATAATAATGATGATAATGATAATAATGATGATAATGATAATGATGATAATTATAATGATGATAATGATAATAATGATGATAATGATGATAATTATAATGATGATAATGATAATAATGATGATAATGATAATGATGATAATAATAATGATGATAATAGTAATGATGATAATGATAATGATAATTCTTTATTTAATAACAATTTACATTTAGTTACATCTACTAGCCACCGAACTAGGCTGAGCCTGTATCTCGGTGGTTAGTTAAAAACTTCCTTTCGACTTAACATAAGACGGTACAATCTAAAACATAAACACACTCATTTGCAACGTTCAATTTACTTTTGGTGCAACATTGTTAGATGTGGGTAGCATCATATTATTTAGTTACAATGACGATTACAGTTTACCCACCCAATGTTAAATATTATTTGCCGGTCATTTTAGGAACCACATAAAGTATTGACTTACGACAAATGAAGCATTAGCGTCATTTAGCGAATATTATATAAGAAAAAGTGGTTTGTTTCCACCAAAATAATAGATAGAAGCTTAAATTGCGAAATTACCTAGAAAAACTAACTATGAATAGAATATTTCATTTCAATTTTTTTTAATACAACTTAGAATGGCAAACAAGCTGACGGCCCACCTGATGGAAAGTGGTAACAGTCGCCTATAGACATGAGCAGTACCATGGACATAATATACTGTTTCGCCCATGATACCCCCCATGCGTTACCATTCCTAAGGACTCAGGTGTTATTCCTCTGTACCCAGTAAATTCACGCCATATCCCACCCTTCAAACCGAAACACAGCCATGCAAACACAGCTGTTTCACGATTGAAACACGAATGGGACAGAGGTACCCAAGCAATCGACTTTTGTACAAAATGGAATAAAACATGCAATGTTTCTTGTAATTATTTCAAAACCGCTAACCAATAATAAAGTGTCGACATCACCTTTCACAAGAAAACGATGATCTGGATATCATTTCGTCATCAGATGATACGAAATCACTGTCATTATTGGGTGACATCGACTGATATACTGGTTCAGGTTTGCTCTCCTTCTTCTCGTTCGTCTCGGGGAGGCAGTCTCGTTGCTCAGATGTGATGATCAGCGGCTTGCGGGAACGCGGCGTCATTATTGATTCCTGTAAATTTATTTTTGTACTTTACTTACTTAAAACATCGTTTTTGTTATCTTTTTTTACCCGACTACGACGAAGCAAAAATGAGGGTACATTAGTATATACCCTTGTGGGTAAGATGGCAATTAAAAGCATGACCTGTCTAAATAGTTACTATAGCCTATTGACATCTGCAAAACTAAGCTTCAGCCATAGACTTACTTCATAGTCCTGAGTCGCCTACATTATTACTTCTAATCTACTTGAAACGTAAAATTTAATTATATAATTTCCATTTTTACATCAAATATACAAATATTTGATACATAATTACATAGTTATCTATAAATATTTCTGACTAGCGGCCCGTCCTGGCGTCGCACGGGTGGACATTTTTACATTTTAAAAAATGGCTATTAAGGCTGCACACACGACGGAAGCTTAAAAATAGAGTAACTTCTCCCGTTTACCCAACATTTCCCTTCACTGCTCTGCTCCTATTGATCGTAGCGTGATGAAAAGTATACTATAACCTAACCAGGAGTATAAAGAATAAATGTACCAAGTTTTGTTAAAATCCGTCGAGTAGTTTTCATTTCTATAACGAACATACAGATAGACAGACAAAAATTTTACTGATTGCATTTTTGGCATCAGTATTGATCACTAATCGGCCTCTGATAGTTATTTTGTTAATATATTTCATGTCCAGAATTGACCTCTCTACAGATTTATCATAAGTATAGATTATTCTGAATAATTATTTAAATCCACTTAATATATTTTTTCTGTGAATGTTTAATAAATTAACAAGTATTCATACAAAAATAAGAAAATAATAAAAAAGAACAGATATGGGTTAATGATTAGAAACATAAATGTAGTTATAGAGAAAAATAGAAAACACATGCGCATACGCAACAAACCTGCATAGCTTTAGACAATTTCTGCGTCGATTTCGTTATGGGCGACATCGAAGCACGTCTAAAGTTGATGGTGAATGGGGTAGCACAATTTTCATCTAACACAATTGAATCTGACACACCAGGCGTGCTCGTTAAATAATGTAATTTTAAATCCATATCATTTTGGTCGACTTTGTGTTTCTTTGGAGTCTCCTGTGTGGTACTTTTACTATTTGTCTCAGCAGACACATCATTCTCTGAACCGGTATCTTGGTCGTCTAAGCAAGAGACACAAGATGTTGGTGTTCCTCTAATAACACCCCGTTTCTGATACTTCTTGTTTATGTTTTGCGAGGCTGACAGTACTTTTGAACGGAACAACCTTGTTCCCCGTTTCTTTGTGTTTTTGGGTGTCTCATCGTGAGAATCTAATACGCTCAAGTTCGGTTCAGACACGAATTTGGGACTTAATTTCCTAGATCGACTTATAGCGCCTTCGGAAAGCGTGCTTTCATTACTCGCGTCCGAATCATAATCCGGGTTATCATCTAACGATTCAGATCTCGCTATTTTATTCGCTAGGTTCTTTAATACAATATTTTTGTGTGACACATCAACTTTATTGTCATCTGTGAAGAGTATTTTGCCTTTTTTCGATTTCTGGAAATAATGCATGCGTTAGCATATGATGTGAAAGTTAGGTATAGAAGACACGTCAGTAATAGGCAGGTAACGGATTAGGAAGAAGAAAAAAGGATTTTCATGAACACAAGTTAGTTCAAGAGCATACAAAAATAATTTATTGGACGCCTATGCAAACTTCGATGAATTTGGCAACGTGCAAAAATGAATTGATTGAAAAATTACTTTTTTAATTGTTAAATAGTCAATTTTGGAAGAAAAGAAATAATAGGATTATTTAGAAAGTATAAAAAAAATTATTAAGATACTATGAAATCAAAAGATATCTTTACTATTTGATTTTATATATATATAACATAAACCATCGCCAAAAAACACCAAAACCAACATAGGCATCCTGTTAATAATGGACATGCAATCTCTTGCAATAAAAAATAGCAACTTGCTTCAAGATTATAAACATTATCTGTCAATTAAAAAACAATAATAGTCAACGAAAAGTGGCTTACTCTAAAATACTGATGTGTTAATGTTTACATTGATGTTCTATGACCAGATTGCAAATAAATCTATCAATAAACAATCGGTAACTTTTTAATAAAATTACCGATTGTTTATTGCTTATTATATTTCCAAATCTTTATAAGAAAAAATAAGGAAAAATTTTTCCAATAGGGAGAAGATCTCAATACATCTGTATATTACAAATATTTCGACAGTTTATACAAGTGTTGCTAGTCTAGTAGTATAAACTCTTAGGCATATTTTATATAATAATAATAATAATAATAATAAAGTTTATTCTCTTCACAATACCAGTTGTACATCTATTATATTCTAATACATTTATTTTTGTAATTTAATGTATTGTGAAGAACTGGTGTCTGAAGTAATAAACCTGTGTTACAGATCACCAGGTCAACCCCACGGTGTTGGCATATATTACAATTTGTTCTGGTTATGAATATAATAACAACATTAATACATATACACATACATACACACATACACACACACATACACATACATATATATACATACATATATATATATATACATACATACACACATACATACATACACACACACACACATACATACACATATATACACATATATAGTTAAGGTTATACAACCGATATATCCTACACACACTTACACAATATACATTATTTTAATAATATTTTCATAAGTTGTAATTTAATACGTAGCCTTCAGCAATTTCTCCGTGTCATCGTACGTCAGACTCAATAACCATGTTTTAAGTGCAGTTGAAGTGTGAATATGAATATATGTTCAAAATACGGTTTATATTATTATAAAGATGGCAGTCTTTGTGATATTGTTCAAAGCGATGTTTTTTGTATATAATGTCTTTACGTCTTTTTGAGGTATCAAAATCGGTGGGTAATATCTGATGTTGTTTTAAAGTTATGTATAAAACAAATAGTTTTCTAACTGAAAGAATTTCACAATCTCGGTACAATTCATTTCATATATTATTATATTTCAATGTTAATTTAATAAAAAAAAAATTTTTATGATGTAAAATGTTAGAAAAATAAATCATGCTATCATATATATCAGGGATGGCCAACCGGTCGATCGCGACTATTAGACCAGCCGGTCGCGGCAAAAAATCGTGTAATATTTTACTAATCTAGCAAAAGACGCTCATACGCAATGCTCACACTAATATAAATAAGTAGTTACTAAGAATAATTTTCAGTTTTATGTTTTCCCTCTTAATAGAATAAAAAATACTACAATACTACACAATTGTATGAACTATGTTGTTTCATTTGAGATTTCAAGAAGTGTGTAATTGGTAGATCGCACAGGGTTTCGTCAGGAAACAGTAGATCTAGCCCCTAAATTCTAGGGTTTATTCAAGTCGGCCACCTCTGATATATATGGTACTTCTGCTCGCATTAACAGGACTCATATATGCAATAAATATAAACTATATTAGAGAACATTCTTACCTCTTCAACTGTGTTGATAGTGCTTGCAGACCCTTTCTTGGGCGTTCTATTCAGCAATCCCTTATTGAATATGTGTCGTTTGATTGAGTCTCCGAAACTCCGCGAACCGGCGGTCTTGCCCGTCCTCTGTATTTGGATCGGTGTGCCTGCAATTAAAAGTACACTAATAATTTCTCTTTATTTTTAGAATAAAGTAATCCCCCCTATAACACAGTAGATTTGTTCTGCGTTAAAGGAAAACGCGATGAAAGAGTATCTCGTATAACACCCTTGTACGACCCCGTATAACACGCTTGTACGACCCCGTATAATGCGCTTGTACGACCACGCATAATACGCTTGTACGGCCCCGTATAATGCGCTTATATGATCCCGTATAACGTGTTACGTACAAATGAATTACGTTTAACTTTTCTCCTTAAAGGGGGTTTAAATCGAATATAAAGAAAAACTATGTTATGAACGGAATGTGTTTTATTATAATCAAATTATGAACATATTTTATAAAAAAAAAAAAACTAAAAAACTAAAAAAAAAAAAAACTTTCAAATAAATATACATATATTTATAGTAAACATTCCATCGACATCATTTTTTAATAGAATGTTAATTCCCCCATTATATGGAAAAAAAAAAAAAATGTCAATTTATTTTTCAAATAAATATACAGTTTTAAAAAGGCGCACTTGCATATTTATATATGCTGTCAGAAACAATAAAATTGATACTATCTAAAGTAACATTCCATACAATTTCGACATATAAAATGCAAGTTGTTTTAATAGAATGTTAAATCCCCCCATTATATGGAGGAATACCCGCATTGTACAAATAGAAATTTCCTCTCAATTTATAATGAAATTTCAAGAATAGTCGATAGCAAATTACATGATTTTAAAAAGGCGCACTGACCTTGCGGTGACTATTATCTATATATGTTTTTTATGCATCTAGTAAACAATAAAATTGAATACAAAGATTGCAAAATTTCTACTACCTACTATGGCTTATCCTGAATTGTCAAAAACTTTCTGGATACAATTTCGACGGATATAAAATGCAAGTAACACGCGGTGGAATAACAATTTCTGTTTACAAGCGAAAGCTATCGGAATATCTCTAGAAATAAAGAAAAAAGGCTATCATTGCGTTGATCAATTAAAAAAACTTGCTTTTTATGGCGTCAAAGACAATAATTTAATAAAATCTTATCTATCTGATAGAATACAGAAAGTGAAGATTAGCAACGCTATACGGGTCACTTGTGCATTCTCTAGTTTTTTATTCCTAGACATTAATGATCTGTAGATCTAATTATTGGTACTTGATTTTTAAAGAATAAATGACGACGATGTAAATAGTCTTTCTCCTGCTATCTCTTATGTTAAACGCTAAAAAAACAAAATGTGTTAATTTCTCTCTGTCTAAAAGGTTTAATACATATATTAAATGACGAATCTCTCGAATTTATAGAATCTACTTTCTAGGAATCACACTAGATAATAAAACACAATATACAGAATGTATGATTCTAAATGGTCAAATATACTGCTAATTAGTCTATTTTAGTTATTTTCATAGTTTCTCTTATGGAATATTACTATGGGGAAAAGCGGCAGATATTAAGAATATATTCATATTACAAAAACGTGCCGTTCGAATCTACTGTATGAAGAGTCGTGACTCAAAGAGAGAAATTCAAAGCTAATATCTCACCGTTGTCTGTCCTTGACTTATTTCCCTATATATATTAAATGTTTAAAACTACGTAACGGATTTTGAACCAAAGGATATGTTTTTTTAAATTCAATAAATCATATTTACTGAGTGATTGACGAGTGTGCATGGCAATAGTTGTTCATGGTTAAGATATATAAATATACATTAAATATGTTTTAAAAAAAGTAATTCAATTGAGTTTCTTGCCAGTTCTTCTCAGTTGGATCTATATACCGAACTGGACGGTAGGGAAAAAAATAAAATTATAATGTAAAAATTTGACGTTCATAAGCGGCTAAAATGTCCTACATGAATAAATGATTTTTGAATTTGAATTTGAATTTGAATTTAATATTGTAGAGAAACACTGATAAATTTAGAGGTTTCTAATGTGATGTCGTAAATAAACACATTTTTTTACGTTTACTCTGCAAACGCTGGCTGAACCCCACGTGATAAATCAAAATAATGTACTACAGTAATAGCACTTTATCATGTTTGTATTGTCTAATGACATAAAAGCTGTAAACGTTGTTGTTATTAGGGTATTCTGTAGTAGATAGGTATATTTAATCAGCATTGCACCCGTGCGAAGCCGGGGCGGGTCGCTAGTAATATTATAAGTATTTCATGTAAGTATTAACCCTTTGAGTGCCGACGAGCGTCATAGCGCTCGGGAAATCAGTCGCTGTTTAGTTTGCTGTAAAAAAAAAATATTAAAATTGGATAATTTTTGGAGGAGATACAGTTTTTTTAGAGACAAGGGTAAATGACATCAACACGACAAAGATTTCTTTGGCATTTTTAAGTGGATATGAATAAAAATCAATGGCACAAAAAGGGTTAACGATGTCATGTGCATTAGTAAAACAAATTTTATTTAATAAAAACAAGATTTATTGTTTTTATTTGTGAAAACTTGTAATTGGCTTTTTGTCTTTAATGTTTTTTTTTTTTTATGAAATTTTCTATCTATTGGTTTTTCTTTAATAATAAATAAATAAATAAATACTGTTCCAGAGCAGTTGATTAAGAAACTTCCTAATAGCTTACACATTTATAATATTCAAAGAATTGTTAAATGCTGCATACAACATACCATAGCCGTTCTGCCTGTTGAAGTGTTTTATAAGGCGTCGCTTGTGCTGTGAATCGGGCAACGCCTGGATGTGTGCGTATAGCTGTGCTAGCGCCGTGTCGGTCGGATTGCTCTCGTTCTCGACGCGGGTTCGATGCCGGTCCACGAATGTGTATACTGTGTTTGCTGCAGTCCTAAAAATTACAAATGTAATGTCAATGGTGCTGTTCGTGTGCATGTGATAGATTTTTTTTTATTCAAAAAATAAAATGGAATGGTATGTATCTGTCTGTATGTATGTATATTGATATATGCTAACAGGAAATAAGACAGGGATAAAAGATGTTGATTAAATCAGTTAACTAACAAAGTATTAAACACTATAGTTTACTGGAGATCATCAACAAGGCCCAATTGGCAAAAAAAACTCACTGCGAGTTAACAAGGTTATTTATTAAAAATGATGATAATTGTTTTTTTCTGAACAACAAAGACACAGATATTTTTTTGTGATAGATCAAATGTTGCACATGCCTAAGAGTATACAATTGCGAGGAACCAGAGGAGGTTGAATGAAGTCAGGTAAGTTTTTTTTTTATACCACTAAGGTGACAAATAAGCATACGGCCCACCTGATGGTAAATAGTTACCGTAGCCTATAAACACCTGCAATACCAGGTAAGTTAGTGTAAAGTGGCAAACTCACTAGTAATATAGTTACCAAGGTTGACCATTTGGAGTTCAATATGGTTGGCTCTATTGCTTGCCATGGAGACAGACATCTCAATTGCTAGAAATGATTCGATTCTATGGTGTCATTCCTTTAAACTTATCTCTTAACCTAATATTTTAATTTGATAATTTCATGAAATTACTGTTTTATGAACCATCATAGGATAAAATTATAATTATTTTGACTTTAATCTATTAGAAAAGGGGGGAAAGGGATTGTTAGTAATGAGGTCTAATACTGCTATTGCTAATAATATACCCTTTCAGTTTGATCACTACGCGGTTCCCCTGGAAACCATCATTGTTAATTCTTGTCAAATTCATCATATTAAGCCAATTGACCTGCATTCATTTCATTTATTATCTTCCACTAATGACCACCGGTGTATACCAGAGAATAGTGGGAATAGTGTGTGTGTGTAAAGAACGAACTTGTCCACTCACACAAAATTTACATAAAATGAGCGAGGTTGTTGGGCTCCCTATAATATAGTTGAAGAAAATGATGGCTGACTCATCCGCCATACTCGTGAACGAGTGCTTCTAGGGACTGGTTTGTTCAAGAATTCTGTGAATGACTATAGCTTGATAGCTTTTTATTTTCTTTATCATTATAAATATGAAGTTTGTAATAGTCATTTCATCCATTCATAATTCTTTTGTTGACAACTTATATTTGAAAAAAGCAACAGCTGTGTTTCTTCCCCATTCTTCTCAGCTGAAATTGCATTCTGAACGGGACTTGAATAAAAATTATTTATTATTATTATTACTTGTCAGTGATGCTCTCGTCGAGGTCAAGATCGGGCGAGAGCGCGCGCAGCCGCGCGAGATGCTCGCGGCGGCTGCAGTAGGCGGCGGCGTCGGTTGCCAGCCGCGCCGGCGCCGCGAACAGCCGCGCCCCCTGCCGGATCATGAACGACATCATCGGCGCCAACGCCACCGCCTCCGTGTGGAACGTCTCCGGTGACAACTGGGAACCAACCACTAATATTCAGTCATTTATATAATTTAGGATGGTGATCAACAAAAAAAAAACCATTTCTGACAAAAACTGTTATTTTGATTTCAAAACTAATCTACTTTAAGATTTTTTTATGGGTGAAAATGGTATGGTAACCCCGCCTGAGTTAACGGGATACGCTAGCTGAGCACCAGTGAAGGGTAATAGATGAGAATGAAAACAGGCCAGTTAGCCCATAATGATTAATTCATAAGGAATTAACCATGATAGTTTCCAAGGAGTACCGCGAGGAGGTCGACCTGGTTGGGTATATTGCTAGCAATGGGATTCTCAGTCTCCATTACTAACAATCCCTTTCCCCCCCCCCCCTACTTAACTTATTCGGATAAAATTTCTATGGAAGCAATCTGTAAGTATATTCTTTTGGATAAAAAAAAAATCAGTTCGTAACTGACGACCTAACTTAAAACCTAAAAAAAGATACAACCCGATTGAAAATGTCCTTCTTTCAATATCCCACGGCTTTGACGTGTGAATTAACATCTATCTGTAGCTATACCAAAAAATTACATAGTTGAACAAAGGTATACTGCGGGTCTACCATGAAATGAAATTCCGAAATTTCGGACTCAATTTCGTGTTATTGTTTGTACCAAAATCGGACCAAGAATTGGAGTATAACATTTTGTTCGTCATACATCCTATCATAAAAGTCAAAAGGAACAATATTTTAACATTTTTAATATTTCCAAATGGCATGTATAATAACGGAATGTAATTTTAACATCAAATTTCTGTTTCGTTTGGCTCCGAAATTTCGGAAAACATTTCATGGTAGGCCCTCAGTTTATCTGGGACATGGTCTATTCGTATACTTACTAAATGTTTATTCAGATATGATCGATTTATTTTATTTTTCTTTTTTTACACATTCAGAATATAATGATACATGAAGGGCATTTTTATTAACAGATACACAGACACCAGACATAAAAAATACTTCAATGAAAAAGATGAATAAATGAAAACTCTTTAATATTACCTTCAAAGAAAAATACACATTAAAAGATTAATAATATCTATCTAACAAAATGAATTATTAATTACATAAACCTAATTATAGATAAAACAAGATAAAGAGGCAACAATGGAGCGGCCTTTTTAAGATTATTTTTTATAAATCTTTTCATACTCTAATAAACGGAATATCAATCAGTAAATTTAACATTAAATGCTAATAAGCTAAAATTGTCATTACCTTTCTTGGACACAGCAGATGTGGTGTAAACATTGTAGCCAGAGTGTCCGGGGACATGCGGTTAGATGCTTCGTTGTCGGCAACTAGCCGAAGCAACGTCAGCAACCGTTCCAAAAACTCCTGTGTAGAGGAGACAGGAGGAGCAGAAGAAGCTGCAACGCTGTGACGAGTTTTGTCTCCGATGATTCGGCGTTTGGTGGATATTGAACTGGAACATTAAATCAGTTTCATTAAAATTCAAATCATCTTTATTCGAATAGACGTGTTTACAATGTGTCATGTTTTATGAATCTACTGCAGGGTTTACAAAGTTGTTATCTGTTTAAAAGGCCGGCAGCATACCTGCAATGCCGCTGGTGTTGTGGGTGATCATGAGTGGCGGTATTCACTTACCATCAGGTGAGCCGCATGCTCGTTCACCCCCTGTGTTGTAAAAAAAAAAGACCCGCAAGAAACACAACAGTTATTCTTTTCAATCTATATAGCTGTAAATTTTTATATGTTGTCATTTTGTGAGAGAAATAAATAAATAAATCTCTGTTGTTCTAACATTGTGTATATTTATTTAGAAAAATTAAAATAACATAAACTATGTGCTACCTGATGGAAAGAAAAATGAAAGTCTCCGAAATATAAATGCATAATCATCATATCAACCCTTAACTGCTCACTGCTGAATATAGGCCACCCCCTTAGGGGGGTTTACCAATAGCTGCCAGGCTTGGCAGGCGGATTGGGGTGCAACTGCAGTTAGGCTTGGTAATGTTTTAAGAGAGACGCTGTTGTCCATCCTTCAACCATTAAGTCCCCTTAGTCACTTATGACACTCACGAGAAAAAAGGGGGAAGAAAAAATGTATGATACAAAACTGAATTATGAAAAATAATTATCATCACTATACTGGCTATATTGATGAAACTTTATAATAAATTTTATTAGGACTTATGACATTGACCTACTTATGACATTGTCTAAAAAGCTTGTTTTTAGTTTTTTTTTATATAACTTAGAATGGCAAACAAGCTGACGGCCCACCTGGAATGATGGACGATGGAAAGTGGTAACCGTCGCCTATAGACATGAGCAGTACCATGGACATAACAGAGTATACTGTTTCACCCATGATACCCCCCATGTGTTGCCATTCCTGAGGACTCAGATGTTATTCCCCTGTACCCTGTAAATTCACACCATATCCCACCCTTTAAATCAAAACACAGCTATGCAAACACAACTGCTTCACGGTAGAAATACGAATGGGACAAAGGTACCCAAGCAATCGACTTTTGTACAAAGTCTCCCTCTGGCTCTCTAGACTTAAAATATTACTGGCTACATAGTCTTATATTATGCATTTTTATATCAGGTGTTAACTATCTATTGTTGAACATAAGAATCCCCCTTGCAGGTTTTGCCAGTAGTTGCAATGCTTAGCAGGCAGATTAGCAACTGCAGTTAGGCTTCGATATTGTATTAAGAGTGATGCTGGCTATCCCTCAACTATTAAACTCCCTTAGTTGTCTCTAACTACACCCATGGGAAAGGGTGTGGTGACCCATACAATGCCAAGACCATATAGCAACAATACAATTACACATTTATACAATTAGAACCTTACCAGCTAATGTACAATAAGTTTGATAATACTGATCCATAAGTAATGGCTGCGGTAATTCTGCTAGGAACCCTTTCAGCACAGATGCACAGTCATGCACTGAGAATCTACCCTCATCAAGACCAAGGTTGGAACCAGTCAGCAATAATTGCCGAAGCTCCTGTTGCCTACTGAGGGAACCTGTGCGACGAAATATTCCTTCTTGGGTAACATCTGAAATTTTTATTATTGTAATTATTTTTTATGTTTACTTTTAAAACATATATATAAACTATTAATATGTATGGCACTTAGTATTCATCAATTTAATGTAAAAACAAAATAAAACAAAATAAATTTGATTTAAATAGACTTATATAATAACTCTTTTAACTCATAATTTTTTGTTCTTCTGCTATAGTTTAGAAAAGGTATCTATTGAAATGAAACTCCACAGATAGTTAACTTTTTAAATCTCTATTAATATTATTTGTACATGAATGCATTGTGTAACATAGATACTGAATAATATAAAGTCTTAGACATTTGATATATACACGAATAATATTTATTTTCTGAGCAATCATTTAGACAGTAATAAATTTATATATGTTAAATATAATTAAGAGATCTTGTTTTTAAGCATTATATAAAACAACAGAGTTTATATACATTTCATAAGTGTTTATCATAATAAAAAATGCACTAGCACTTACTTTCTGACTTGGAGAGGAAGTCTATTAGTTCATTAAGCCTCAGCATACCCTCTTCGGTAATGGTGCAGACATCACTATTCTTTGTGTTATTATGACTAGAGTTGGAACCAGAATTTTTGGTTTTCTTATGAAAATTCCATCGGAATTGCTTTGGTTTGTCAGTTGAACAATCAACACTGAAAAATATAATAATGCACATTTAATTATAATAGTAAAGTGAACATAAAAAATTAACTTCGATAACATTAAAACTTACTCGTCAGTATTAATATCTACTAGAAAAGATAAATGCATGCGCACTAATGTAAAAAATTGGTCTGAATTTTCTTGTCTGAGCCTTTCTATTAACGATAATTCCGTGGAACTCATATTTTCGAAAGCCTTAATAAAAAAATATAAAATTATAACAACTACGAGATACAGCACTTCGGTGACATCATTTGAGTTAACATGATTTATAGAGATAAACATTTGGCAAAAGTATTAATAACGTAATAAACAACATTGAGATAATCAATCATGTTTTGAATAAATAAGAATAAGTATTTTAAATTACATTTCAAATAAAAATGCGTAAGTATTGTTTTCAAATGTCAGAAAGTCACAACGGCTAAAAAAATACGATTTGAAATTGAATACCGATTAAGACTATATATTCATTTAGTGTTTCATAACTAAGATGTTGAACTAAAAAAAATTTTTATTGTATGTAATTATAATAATAAAGAATAGTAAATTAATATATATGTGTGAAATATATATTCTCAACTTTACTTTGATATAACAGATTAAGTCATTTAATATACAAACAGTTATAACAATAAGAATTAAAGCTTCAGAACGAAACTAATTGTAGTTTGACATTTTGAAAAGTTTTGTGTGTTCAGAAATAAAGAATATAGTCTGTAATTAATAAATTGATTTCGAAATAAATACTTAGAACTAATTTGATTGGAATTAATTGAAATTTACATGATTTCTTCTTTCTTTCTCTTCGTGTTACTGAACGAACTAGTGTAGTGCCTAGTGCCTATGCATTGATTAAATAACTGAAATTACTATAAATACAAAATTTTGTCTTTTACCATGAAATTAGATAGTATTATACTCCTTAAGATTTTATTTAAAATTAAAAAGCAATCATGGTACATAAGAGGGTCAAACTGAAAGTCCTTAGAAAATAGAAAACTGATTAAATAAGCAAATTTTTACCTTTATTTTATCTTTTCAAAATAGTGTCCATTCACGTCAATACAGCGCTGCATCCGATAGAACCACTGAAATAAGCACTTTGCCCACTCGTCCTTAGGGATCTCTTCGACGGCCTTCTGAAACGTAGCCACACCTTCCTCGGCGTCCATAAAACGTTTTCCTCGAAAATTTTCTTTTATTTTTCGAAATAAATAAATATCACAAGGTACGAGGTCGAGGCTATAAGGCGGATGACCCAATAGTTCTACATCTGAGGTCGCCAAATAATCGATCGTTGCCTGGCGGTGTGCGACGAAGCATTGTCGTTGTGAAAGAGGATCCTACTGCGAGGTCATTTCTCAGGCACTTTTTCCAAAACACGTGGCAAACAATTGTTACTGTACCACTCTGCAGTAATTGTTTTTCGAACCTCTAAAACAATTGTCGCGTAATGACCTGTCCTTCCAAAGAACGAGACCACCATCTTTTTTCTCACGCTTTGACCTCTCTTCACTTTCGTTGGCAACTCCTCGGAAGGAAACACCCACTGAGCTGTCTTTTAGTTTCAAGATCATAACAGTAAATCCAGCTTTCGTCTCCCGTAACTATGTCAAAAACAGAATTTGACTCGCCTCCGTTAAATCTTTCATGCATATCACGGCACCAATCAATACAACGGAGTTTTTGAGCCTCGGCCAAATTATGATGTATCCACCGGGCACGAAGCTTCCTGACCGCCAAATGTTCATGGAGGATTTTGTACACTTGACTTATACCAATCCCTAAGCTTGCCCGGATCTGCTGATAGGTCACTCTTTTGTCAGTCTCTATCATACGCCGCACAACACTGATGTTATCTTCAGTCGTCGCCGTAGAAGGCCGTCCCTCACGCACATAATCGGTGAGATTAGTGCGATCACGTTTAAACTCGTTGTAAACAGTAGCACGAAACGGGGCTTCATCGTGAAAAGCCAATCGTATTCTACCATAACTTTCTTGTTGACTTAGATGATATCGAAAGTCATAAAAAATCATTAAGTTCATGATAACGTTACACAGACTCTTTTCAATTTGCCGCCAAACCGTAAAACAAATAACAAACGAATAAATTATATACTCAGTATTATTCGTAGTTCCATTTTCAAAAATTTAAAAATTTTTTTATTATATTGCTTTTAAGTAGCCAGTTCTAAAAATTTTCAGTGTAGCCCTCGTAATACAATTTTTTTTAAATAATTTATTATCACCTCTTTACCTCGCCCTCATTTGTATTTTTTTGTAATGGATGATAAAGTAATGGTAAGCCCGTCTGCGTTAATGGTATGTGCCGAGTAACCAGTGAGGGATGATAGGTGAGAAAAAAACCAGGTTAGTTTGCCCATCATAACGAATACATGTCATTCCACACGATGGTTTCCAGTGGAGACCACGTGGAGGTCGACCTGACAGGGTCTATTGCTATCAATTGGACTGGTAGTCTGAATTGCTAACATTCCCTCCCCCCCTCGTACATTTGTATCAGGCATATTTATTCTTTTTAAATAAATTTATTTACGTACTTAAATTGAAGAACCGATTTTTAATGGGGTCAACCCTCTAAGGGTGATGGGAAAGGGATTATTACTTAAACATTAATTATAATAAAACTACATATATTCAATTTATTAATAAAAACGGGACAAAACAACCACTGAATGTAACTTTTGCAGGCAATATAATTAAAGAAAGTTCACAAACAACTTTTTTAGGTGTCTCATTGGATGATAAATGTTCCTGGGCTGATCATATTCATAAACTATGCAATAAAGTAAATTCATTCGCGTATGCTCTCTGGCGACTAAGAAGAATTAGCAATAAAGAAACAGCTTTACAGGCATACCATGGTTATGTCAGCTCTATTTTGAGATATGCTATACTTCTGTGGGGTAACTCGTATTATGCAAGCCGTGCCCTTATATCACAGAAACAATGCATCAGGGCGATCTGTAACGTTGACTCACGTACATCTTGTCGATCATTATTCAAGGAGCTAAATATACTTACTGTCCCATGTAAATATATATATGAGGTATGCATATTCGCAAAAACACATTTACATTTATTTAAAAAGAAAAGTGATCTCTGTAATTTTAACACAAGAAATCCTCAAAACTTAGTACTACCTTATAAAACTACAACTTTGTATAGTAGAAATGCCTACTGTATGACAATAAGCATTTATAATAAATTAACGGACGAAATAAAAACATTACCCTTAAATATATTTAAAAAAAACTAAAAAGATGGCTGATAGAAAAATGTTTTTACTCGGTTAATGAATATTTTGAATACTTTAAATCTTAAATATATGACTCAATTAATGTAATTTGTAATTTGTAAAATGACTGTAATTTGTAACCTGTATAATTTATTATTAATACGTAAATATATTGACATTTATTTAATATGACAATTTAAGTAAAATAGTATTAGCATAGTATAGTGGAACAATTAAATAAATTTTGTACGCCAGATTCTGGTGAAAAATGTGATCAATATTTAAATATTATATTCCATCTTTTATACCATTTTTCAAACAAAATAAAGTTATTTGTATTTGTATTTGTAAGATCTAATGACCATGTTGGTCCTAAATATCCTATCGGTGAGTTCCCTCGCGTGGTGCCCATTGGAAATTATTGTGATTTGCTTATGTTTTACGATTCCATTTTTGTTCCATAAAAAAAAATCCATATAAATAATGACTATATAAAACATATAATTACCATCTATGGGTATTGCAGACGTTCATAGGCTACGGTAACCGCATACCATCAGGTACGGCCCACCTGATGGTATGCTTGTTTGCCACCTCAGTGGTGATATGATAAAAAAGAAATTAGTTCTAAATATTAGAGTATAAGTTTTATTAATACTGAGTAAATTTTATGTAATTTTTCGAGGTTTGTCCGGAAAGTACGTATAAAAGTTTTTTAAAAATTTTATTTTACAATTATTCAGGTAAATCAATTTTATCCCCTTCAAAGTACTCCCCCTGTGACATAATGCACTTGTGCCAACGCCGTTTCCACTGTGAGAAGGCTCCTTGAAAGTCCTCTGGTTGTAGGTTTCTCAGCTGCCCCGTCGTAGCTTTTTTTATCTCATTTATGTCCCCCAAATGCCGCCCCCGAAGTACCAATTTGGTTTTTGGGAACAAGAAGAAGTCACACGGGGCCAAATCCGGCGAATAGGGGGGTGTTCGGTCACCGTAATGGAATTTTTACTCAAAAACTCACGGACAACAAGAGAGGTGTGGGCAGGGGCATTGTCGTGGTGAAGATTCCAACGCCCCTCTCGCGCCAATTCTGGACGAACTCGTGCCACACGAGCTTTGAGGCGTCTGAGCACATCGACGTAGAATTTTCCATCAACTGTCTGGCCTGGAGGGACGAATTCTTGATGGACAATCTCCCGAACATCGAAAAAAACAATCAACATTGTCTTGACATTTGAGCAGGATTTTCTTGATTTTTTTGTTCGTGGTTACCCGGATGTCTTCCACTCTTTGCTTTCACGGCCATTCTTGCCGAGTTTCGAGAGAAACTTGATTACGACGCGCTGCTCTTCAACGGAAGCGGGCTCCATGCCGACGGGGTTTCGTTAAGAGGTAACTTCACAGATGGCGTGACAAGCCAGTTTGTTAGGGACATAAGGAAGGGGTTGGCCTCCCCACTCCTCTTTCTCGCATTCCAGAACACTTTTATACGAACTTTCCGGACAGACCTCGTATAGTAAAATTTTAACTAAACATGGAAGATATTTAAGAAAAAAATATAAGAGGAATCAAAGCAATTTTACAAATTTTGTCAGTTTCAGCGTCATATAGTAACTACTGCACCAAATTCGATGTGATTTTTACAGTTAATGTGTGGTGTTCCTAAAAATCAAACTTAAAATCTGGTTTATGTTTTATCTTAATAGGCCAACTAAAAATGGTCTATTCCAGTTGTTTACTCACTTTTGAAATCCACACATATTAAGTATCAGGCAAAAAGCTGCTATAATTTTTTTTTTTATATCTAATTTAATTGGTTATTGATTTTTATTGCTATAAGTTATTATTAAATGTATTTATATAGAAACATGAAACTATTATTATCAATAATATGTATTTTAATTTAACAGAAATGATTTACAGTCTTACAATAGAGATACAATACACAGAGTAATAGAAACTAAAACATATCATCATGCCCTAAATCTGCTACTAAGTTAAGACCTCTCTCTTTCAGTGCCTTTGAGAGCAGTTTCTGTTGTTCAATTTTAGCATCTTGTTCCCTTCGCTGTGCATCCAGGATATCATCCACTGACACTTCTGTTAATGGTAAATTGTCTTCCTTATCTTTGTCCTGGAATGTAAAAGTCTCATAATTTTTACACAATAAAAGCTATATGCAAAGGCATATATTATGTTCGCAGAATAAGTGAGAATAAATCTCATTTGCTCAATAAACTGAACTAAACTGGATTTGGAGGCCAGTAATAAATATCCTCCTCTTCTCTTCTTCTGTTAATAAACTTTATTTTGAATAAAAAAATATCCATTCTCCTGTTCCAGTGGAAACATAGCTATTTTTTACCATTTGTGTATAAAAATTCCAACAATTACTATACATGATATGATAGACAAAGACTTAATTACCTATATTAATATATATTATTAATGAGTATACTTTATTTACATTAAACAATATAGGGGAAAAACAACACAATTAATAAATATAATGATACAATTGTATAAGTACAGTAAGGCTGTCTTATTGCTGAGAGCAATCTTTTTAAGACAACTTTAGGGTAATGGACCAATTACAAGTAGGTATTGTATAATTAAGAAAATTAACAGAATAAAACAATAAGGAAAATAATTATAAGTATTAAGTATGTATAAGTATAATAATATATTATTTCCCTATAACACAATAAGATATAATCTTGATTAGATTATATGATTAATGGATTATAATGGTTCTTATTGAATCATTGAAGCAGTATTAAACTTAATAAGCTCCTTTTTTTTTATTGTGGGGAAATGCCTCATGCAAACCCATATGCCCCGGGGGAGGCGTATGGGCACTGCTGGTCTCCTACTGGCTAAAACCACCACGGCATCCCTCGCCACGCCAAAGTGTTGGGGACCAGTGTGTTATAAGTATGTATAAGTATAATAATATATTACTTCCCTATAACAGAATAAGATTATATCGGATACTAGTTCTTATTGAATCATTGAAGCAGTATTAAACTTAATAAGCTCCTATACCAACCTGCATTGACTATGGGATCGATTCAAAAGTGCCATTTCTTTAAATGTATCTCTACAATTAAATTGGATACCAAAACATTTTTTTTTTTTTATTTTAAGGACCAATATGAATTTAATATCTTATAGATTTAAAACAAAATTATTATAAATTTATAATGTATCCATAACACAATGATTTCATAGAACTATCAAATTTAAATATTACAATAAGAGGTTTTTAAATATAGTATAAGTTAGTGGTATATATATATATACATATATTTAAATTTCTGCAATATATGAGACTAAAGCAGCTTTTTTATTATACTTACAATTTCACCTAGAAGAACAACATTCTCCCCTCTCACAATAAAGATGCCTCTTGGTATGTCCCCATACTCTTTGCCAACATGTATCCTTTCAATTGTCCTATGTAATACTAAATTGGCAAATTGATCGACACAACGCAGATATCCAATCAGGGTCCTCCCATCACGGAGCAGCACCATTAGTTTCTCTTTATGGAACAATAACAAGCTTTAAAATACAATGTACACATAAATTTCAATAATTCCAACAGACTTCAAACAGAGATTCTTAAATACAAGTGCTTTTAAGTAATATCTTTAGCAAATTGTGATCAATTTTCTTTTTAATAAAGTTTTGTTTTCTCAGTATCATAGTAATTTTTGAAAAATTGAAGTCTGTTTTTCTCTGTTAAAAATATTTAATCATCAACACCTACTATCCAATTCATCAAGCAAATGAGCAGTTCCAGCTAATGGGTTCACGTTATATGACATATTAACTTATTTATTAACGAAAATACAAATTATTTTTAACTCTCAATGGAATAGCGAGACTCCAATCCAAAGTGTAGGCTGTTTGTCTATTACGAAAATGCCAAATTCACGTTTTCGACTTCTTTTTATCACCATAAATTTTATACTACTTCACAGTAGTGAGTGATTAATTAATCAAATATTTATAAAAATATCCATAAAAAATGCAAAAAAAAAAAATAAGCTAACGGTATATAATTTTTTTTTTTTTTATTTTGCTCATATAAATTCGATTCACAGGTTAGAGAGATATAGAGAGAGATTGATTTGATCGACTTCAGTCGTCAACGTCAGTCTCAAAGAACATAGGTCAGTCTTCAAATTGACCGATAATACTAAAACCCTTAGTATAGAACGCTAATAAAAAAGTCAGCTAATTTGACAATTAGCTGACAAAAACCGTTAACCGTTAACCCGTTTTTGAGGCTCGAGGCTATATTTGTATAATCTAAGATATTATGTAATAAAACAGCACAAAATACAAATAATATTTGGAAAGAATTCAATTGTTATTGAACAAAATCCACCACATTTTGGAAATTTTAATTCAATTGTGGAGATTTATTTCGGATACCTGTAAACCTAAAAAATGCCGCGAATTCGTTTTTCTAAAAGAAATGTGAATATTTATACACTGGACAGCAAATAACCCGGGCCACCCGCTACTTTTGAACTCTAATCCGATTTTCTCAAAAAATATAAAACTTACAACTGCCAAAGTCATACCTATAGAAAGTGCGTTTCATGACGATCAAAATAACTAAAATTTAATGTAAAGTACCGTCATCTTACATTGCAATCAAGCAACAAACACAATGCTTACGATTTGTTCTGTTTTGGCTAAAATTCGCGCTCAGCGTTCTTTCTTCTACAGTGAGAGTAGTCCGATATTTCTTATCACTTCTTTAAATGTTTTTCATCATTTGCATAGCGTGTATTTTTGTAACTTTTTTGAGTTAATAATGGATACAACTCCTCAGGAAGGCGCTCAAGCTGTAGCATTACTTCAAGCAGGCCACAGACAACGTGAGGTCGCTCGAAGACTTCGAATTAGCAGATCTTCAGTGCAATGAGTTTACAGACGATACTTAGAGACTGGAGCATTCGATCGCCGTCCAGGTACGGGCAGATCTAGGGTTACATCAGCAGCAGATGATCGTTACATTCAACTTATTGTTCTGTGAAATCGTCGACTCCACGCAGTCCAAGTCCAACAAAGTCTGCGTGATGAACACCAAGTGGTCATAAGTTCAAATACTGTTAGAAGGAGACGGCAACAGGCCCAGCATTAACGGTAGCCCACCGTCAAGCACGACTTGAATTTGCTCAAGAGCATAGAGATTGGACGTTTGAGCAGTGGAGTAAAGTACTCTTCACTGATGAGACAAGGGTGAGTCTACATGTAAATGTTCGATGTCAGAGAGTATATCGTCGCCCTGAAGAACGTTATTCTCAGCGATCCCCTTCCTATTGTTGTTAATAATAAAATGGTGGATATCTGTGTAGCAATGTAGACTACTACTTGTTTACTTGTTTTTTTTTTTCTTTTTCTCATTTTGTACTCAACTACTGCGGTTTTATTTTGACTGAAACGAATAAATACGACATGGCTTAACATATTTCCTACTATGTTAGTATGTTTACATTATCCGGTTTAATTAACTATTTTATTTTTAGCTTTTTTTTTTAATTATACGGTTCGTTTGCTCAATGACATCATTCTATTGCTATTTCGTAATGTGAGAACTTGAATATCAATTATAATAAAATGAAAGAGAACAATTCTATTCTAATATATATGTGGCGTATTACTAACCATCACAATACGCCTTTTATATAACTGGCCATCGTATTCAGTCTTTTATATTTTTATATTTCTATTGTTCTTATGTTTTTACAATTCTGTCATCTTTTATGTCATGTCTTTATGTTTTCCTAACAAAGAAGACGTGATAAAAGGGAACTACAATATTAAGCATCTTAATTTATCAATCCGTTTCTCTTAATATATATTCTTTTATATCCTTCGTACTCCATTACACATCAATTCCATAATCAAAAAATATTGTGTGTCAGGCATGCACTACGAAGCTTAGATTATTACATAACTTGCGTATAGTAAATGTTTGATATTTCAATTATTTGTCAATAACCATTTTTACATTACTAGATTATATATTCGATACATTATGTTTATGTAGAAAATATGCAAGCAGGTTGTATCTGAATTTGTTAGGTGTTATAACTGGCACAGCATATTGTCGTATTTGAAATAATGTCATGTCAATGTTCATTGTTTTTTATGTCCCTGTTTTTTTCACTGTCGTACTGTACTGTACGTGCATACTAATAAAACTGTTTTACGTATTTGATGAGCTGCTGTTATTTTCATGTAGTAAAATCCTCACAGTAGGGTTATACGGCCATATAACATTTTCTATACACTAGCCTGCTATAAACTGGAAAAAAACAACTAATGGTGTATATTTTGTCCTCTTTTTACTAATGATATTTGCATAAAAAGAAAGGAGGCAATCATATAATTTATAAGTTTTATTTTATCATTCCTACTATGAAATTCATTGTTCTTATTTAAAACCTAAGAACAAGGAATTCTTTGTTCTTAAATGCTTAGCAGCGATAGCGATAAGATACACTATAAGTAAGTCGTATATCCATGATTTACACTTCTAACATTCTTTATCTATGATATGCTGTAGATTATTTGTAGTTCCAGTTACCTAATGAATCGAAACGTAGTTGCTGAAAAAAAATCTTAGAAATAAAAAAATCAAAAAACAATAAAAATGGCCGCAGTGAACCTGATCACTTTATTCTCGCTGATTGTGTTCTTTATTACTTATTAAAATACATTTATAGTTGTTTAATTGACTGTGGATGTAAATATAAATGCTATGTTTTACTCTCATTTAATTGCAAAGTATTTTTTCATACTACATAGGGCTTAACATATAAGATGGAACAGGACGACGAAATTAAATCCGGTTGTTTACTATTCCCTCCTGCCGGAGGAAATGTATTTAGCAAATTTCCTAAAAAGGTAGTCCTTATTCATATTTCTTTTTCTTAAACTAAATAAAATATTGAAATAAAAGTATGAGTTTAAACCTGTTTGGTCTCGTAACGCATGAATTGGTTGTTACATTCGTTGTTACTTGTCCAACGTGACTCAGACATCGAAATTTGTAAAGTATTTGCACCAGATAACTTTTACGTAAAATCTGTTTATTCAAATATGTAGTATTATTTTATTTGAGACTACATTTTTTTATTCTTCATTTCAGAAAACTTGGCAACAGAAATATTGTATATTATTTAATGCAAGCAAACAGGGAATTGAACGCCTTGAAATATATGATCATAAAGAAGAGGTAATGACTGGTGCTATCCCTAAAATAATAACTCTTGAAAATTGTATAAAAATAACACATTCTAGTCCAAACACTATTACAATATTAACTAAGTCACATACTCAACAACTTAGCACACAATCTGAAACGGAGACTTTAGAATGGGTGAATGCCTTACAATCTGTAGCCTTTAAAGGACGAGATTCCTGTCCTATCAGTTGCGACGAAGACAATGACTTGTATTGTTCTTCTGGTGAAGGGGTATTTTCAGTAAAAATGTGTGCTTCAGAAGCTTCTACAAGGTGTGGGTTTGAATCCATTAGATATCTCCTCTTACTAACTTCAACTGCCATTGAATTAAGAGATGTTAATGATAACAAACTATATGCCACATGGCCATACAGGTACATAAGAAGGTATGGTTACAGACAGGGTAAATTCACTTTTGAGGCTGGTAGAAAGTGTGATACTGGTGAGGGAATTTTTCATTTAGAACATCCAAATCAATCTGAAATATTCAAATGTTTGTCATTGAAAATGAAAACAATGAAACAAATGATTGGTAATGAAAATCTGAACAGTCCTGAACATACAGAGTTCAATATTCAACCCAGTGCAAACTTATTTCCTGGATCTAGAAGTCCTTTAGTGGCTGCAAGACCAGATGATTTGAATTTGAGTTCTCTATCATTTAAAACAACTTCTGTATCATCCAGCCAACAAAGTTCTTGTACTGAAAGAGACAGTGCACCTTTATTGATGCCTAAACCAGCATTAAAACCTAAACCTCAAAAGCCACCACGAAAAATAATCAATGTTCATAACATCAATAAAAATGTCACTAAAGATGTTCCAAGTTCAACTGATGAAAGTGTAGATTTTGGTAGATATAACAAGCTTGATAACTATGAACCTATTGATCAAGTGAAGAGAGATCAAAGTCCACCCTCTGTGCCATATGATAAGGTTGAGGTGCGCAGTGAAGCATGGAAAACTTTAGGAATAGATGATCCTGATCATACAGAATTCACTCCTAACTTGGGTGACAATCCTAACTGCCTAAAATTAATATCAAGGTCTCAAGACAACTTGAATAACCATGGTCTTATCTTAATACCGAGTCCAGTAGTTGACCCAGAAGACGAGAACTATGATAGATTGCAATACTTTGGATCTACAAGTAAATTGAATAAGTCTTCTAGGTATAAAAAAATGGAGGCTCGCCCCACAACACTATCTTTGGGTGATTCAAAGAATAAGGACACATGGAATGATTATGATGAAGTTGAGAATGTAATGCAGACAGCTAGACTGGCAGATGATTCTCATTTAGGCTATGGAATGATAAGGAAGCCTAATACACCTGGACCTCAGGTACCTACTGCTGCTCAAGTTCAGGCACTACAGAATCAAGTTGGTTTGGAAGAAGTGAATCATAATAGTTGCAATGGAAGTGACTATGCTATTGTTAGCCGTCCAAAAAGAGTATAAAATGGTAACATTAAAGACTGAATGTAGTGTTTGTTCACTCAATTACCAATATTGTTAATTAGAGTTTAATACCAACTATAATTATGTATACTTAGCAATAAATTTATCAACCTATAATTATTATTGATTTTAAATATGTTATGTATGGAGAAAATACAAAACATATAGAGAAGACATTTCCAAAATGAGACTGTATTGCATTCCTTTGTACATTCTACTTAAATACATTTAGATATTATTTAAATGTGCATTCTTTTGTATATTGTTGAGCACAGGTATTTTATAATGGAAAATGTATCAATGTGATTATATTGTGCCTTATATTTCTAGTATTTTGAAGATTTGAAGCTTGTGCCAATTGAAAGCAAATAATGATCATTTTATAAGTAGATTATAATTACCATTAGTAATACTACTTATGTATCATATATTTCATTTACATTGTGATTATTCCACATTTTAATATTATAACTTATGTTAATTTTTGAGAAACAGGAAGAATAACTGATTATCTTTTTGATATATGTATTTTGTATGAATAATAGATGTTGAGAGGTAATTAGAAAGACCATATAATTAATTTTACTACCTATGTTAACAGAATGTAAACAACAATTTCATTCTAAAGTTGGCCATATTTTTTGTGATTATTTGTAATAAATGGTATAATATTAATAAACAGTCTTATTATTTCAACTGTCAACTATTGGACATAAGCCTTCCCCATAAGGGGTTTTGCTAGTAGTTGCCATGCTTGGCAGGAGGGTTTTAAGAGGGACACTGCCGACCATCCCTTGCCCTCCCTTAGTTGCTTCTTACTTCTTACAACACCCACAGGAAAGGAAGGGTTGGTCTATTTTATACTGGAACCACATGGTGAAATAAATAGTGTAATACATAATTTCTTTGACTCCAATTTAATGAAATCGGACTTATAGGTAATTGAATCTAATTTATAGGTAATGACATATAAATTAACTGAGAAATTCTTGAAACTAATATGAATACATTAGTATTAAAATAGTCAATGTTACTTTGCAGAATATATGAGAAGTTTGTTTAATTTTTTAGACAAGTATTGGTCTGTGCATAAAAGTTACATCACATCAGTAATTTTTTTATATTTAATTTATTGCCAAACTAATATACAGATCTATACATCTATATTATAATCTACATATACATAACACTAATTTTATTAGTCCATGTTAATAAAATTTGAATTTCAGTCTTTCAATAAATTATCACATTTTGTTTCTTCATTTGTCGCATTTTTGATCATTTCTTTTGCAATGAATTCCAAATCTTCTGATAATATTTTCTGTACAGTCTCTCCTTTCTCTGCCATTATATCTTCAATATTTTTCTTTCCATTCATATCTGAGAACCAGTTCAAATTGTCTGCAATTAAATGCTTATTTTCGCAACCATCACATGTAACAATTACAACCCCTTTGTAATAAGCCAATTTCGTAATAAATTTCATGTTTCGTGTATTGCACTTTTTGCATGTAAACATTAGTTGAAACTTTCCTTCATACTTCTTCTGTTCAGGGGTTAAAGTGATTTCATTGAGTTTAATAGCACTTGTGCTGAAATTTCTTGGTGATCCTATCTTTGGCGTGGATGTTGAAACCGGTGCTATAGGTACTACTAATCGTCTCCCAAAGTAGGAGTTGCCGTTGCTTGGAAAAACAATAACGTTGTTCAAAAAACGTGGCTTGTGATATTTGACTATAAAGTCAATTAGAGTTTTATGTGACATTTTGAATAATAAAAATTAGTCAGTGAAACATTTAAAGGATTATATTCCTTATTTAGTAAAATTGCGCCACTATTACTGCACGATTATTGAGTTGAGTAATATTATTTGAGTTTAATAATATTTTTCACAGAATTTTATGTTTTGTGTGCTATGGTATAATAAAACATCAATCACATAACATTTTTACATTGGAAATAATACATTTTTATTTGTATTATGAAATCAATTAGATTTAGAATTTCAGCACATTTATACTATGAAAAAAAGTCAGAACCCTAACGTAATGATTACTTACTCTGTAACCCATAGGCTATCTAATCTGTGCCATAGATTATTAATTGGTGCCATTATAAATACTTAATGCTTTTTTATACGGCTACAGTGGCTGTATTGTCGCCTCGAAAATCTGCGAATAACTGTCAACAACAGCATGTATAGTGCATGTGTTAAAGTGTAAATACTTCTTGGTAGTTAGTTTTTTTTATTCTACTTGTCTGTTACTGAATTGTCACCTTAATAAAATTGTCTAGCTCTGATATTTAGCGTAAAACCTGCTTGACCAATAGTTCTGTTAATATAGATAAAAAGGACTTATGGTGTTTGGATAATGGTTGTACTTCTCACATGACACATAAAAAGCATCTATATATCATATTTAGAGAATGATAATACCTATGAAAAAATAAAACTTCCATCAGAAAATTGTTACACACAAATTAAAGGTAAAAGAGAAGTTGCTATTAATATTCCGAATACTCCAGGATTTAAATTAACGAACATACTTTATGTACCATTATTAGCAACTAACTTGGTATCTGTTGAAAAATTTAACGCAACTGTGTTATTTAATAGAAATGGTGCTATAGTAAAACAATATCGTAATTTTAATGAGAGCAAGTAGAAAAGATGACGGATTATACTATATTAAAGAACAGTACAAACTATGAAAGTAATGATAAAGATATAAATGAATGGCATAAAAAAGGATATTATACGAAAGACTGTCGCTACTCTCGATCGTAATGCTATAAATATTAAATGGAATGTTTAGACCAATTGCATTACCTACAACATTTAAAAAAAAATAATAAATAAATAAATATACATATATATATATATATATATATATATATATATATATATATATATATATATATATATATATATATATATATATATATATATATATATATATATATATATATATATATATATATATATATATATATATATATATATATATACTTGAAAAACAAAATCTATGTACATCAGATCTGAACTTAGCAATTTATGATTTCTTGTACACTGTCTTGACAATAATGAATAAAAGTACACCGATTTGCTCCATTTACTGTAATATGACTTAAGTTTTTAATTACAACCACCATAATTAAATTAATTATATGGAAGTGTATGGAACGTCTAATTGTCCAAGGAGCAGTACAAGGCAAACATTCTCGGGGTAGATCACCAACGCGATTGACTGACCTCATCAAAACGGCCACACAACAGTCTCTTGTGGAGTGCTCTCGCTCGGCGAATCGCGAAGAAAATAACGAAGAGAGAACACAGGAAAATGGTACTAAAGGGAGAGGTAGTAGGATTTAATAGAGATTTTGAAGCTAGTAAGAGTTTGAGCGCACTGAATAGAAGTAGGTAGTGAGTTTCATAGGCGAACTGCTTGAACAGTAAAGAATTTAGAATAAAAGGAAGAAGAATGAGTGGGAAATTTAAGCGGAGAGAGAAAAATATGATCATTAGCCTCACTGAGAAACAAGAATCGGTCTTTTAGGTAATCAGGAGCAGCGGGTTTAAAAAGGATTGCGTAAAGAAGAGACAGGATATGCAGATTACGACGAAAACGGATAGGGAGCACTTGAGTTGAGTACAAATTAAGAAATGTGATCATATTTGCGAAGACCAAATATGAAGCGGATACATAAATTTTGAAGACGCTTAAGCTTGTTTAATTGTTCTTCGTTGAGGTCTAAATACCAGTCGAGAGTCGGCATAATCAAGAATAACTAGGAGTAAGGAGTGTGTGAGCGCAATTTTGGTGTTAACTGAGAGGAAATTACGTAATCTATTCAAGGCATTAGTACATTTTTTTACTGACCTCCGAGAATTGTGGAGATTATGACGATGTGTTATCAAAAATTAAGCCAAGATTTTTTTTGGCAATCTATTAAAACCCTATCAAAAACCGCAAGCGGAAGACTAGTCAAGGAAGTTTTTGTTATAAGCTTGGGACTACCAATAATAATGACTTCTATGTTCGGGGGGTTTACAACAAGACCATAAGATTTACTCCAGGCAGATATACGTGCCAGATCAGCGTTAACAGTACATATCGCTAAAGAGATATCAACAAGAGGGGCCAAAAAGAATCTCTAGATCATCTGCATAAAGGTGGTAGGAAGATTGAAGTTTTTTATTGTTATATTAAGAGCTTGTTGTTAGATTAAGAATCAAGCGAGACTTCGTTAGTTTTCTCTATTCTTTAAGTAGTCTGTGAGCATGTCATAGTTTCTCTAATCAATTAATATAACCTATAAAATGTTTTTCAGTTTTATAAAAAATTAATAGTACCTACAAACAAAAAAGATAATTAAATTGATCACATATAATAGATACCTTAAGAAAATGATATGGTTTTCATAATTTATTGAAATTTACAGGTAGTATTTTTATTAAATAGACTAAAATGGACTCGATTTGGTTCAAACCTGAATTAGCTGATGAAATAATAAAATCTAATGATATATTTGAAGAAACACACAGTATTGTTGCAGGTGAGTAATAAATTCAGTACAGAAGAATAATTTATTCTTTTGTATTCTTTAAAATATGTATACAAATCTAACTTAATGCCTAATTATTCTCTGCCAGTCAACTATCAAATAAAGCCCTATGTATCCTATTGGTAAAGAATATTATCTGGCATATATCAGATTCCAAATTCAAAACTTTGTCGATATAATGTGGTGACATTATATATATCTACTAGCTGACCAGGCATATGTTGATTTGCCATATACATTATTTCTAGAAAATATTTTTTTTATTTCAATAGACAATAGCTAACATTATACGTGTGTGGAGATATAATTACAATTGAAAGAGGAATGAAGCATTGTACACAATTAAAGTATACTTTATTTAAGCCATGCGATAGGCAAGTGCGCATTCGGAGTTCTCGCCATGCAAGTAAATTTGTAGGAAATTATGAAATTCGTTTGGCATGGCAGCAATGAGCCCATTTTGTGATAAACTTGGCTTATGATTTTGAATGTGGAATTAAATTTTTGACCGTCTGCAGTAATATTTTGAATTATCTTCTGATCCACCGAAAGATGTCATTTGGAAACATGAATATGCGCATTGACTCTAGAAACAGGATAAAATCGGGATCCGTACCAATAAATAAGCCGTGTAATGGTCCAGGTAGTGTTTCAAACTCCGTTAGTTGCACTTTCCTGATGAGAAACACATCCCGACTGGCTCATTTTTAAATTTAAGTGCATGACAATGCGGACATTCCTCGCTCAAAATATCTTTAACCACTTAATAACAATTATTTATTATTATTTCTAATAATAATAAATTCACTATGAGAATAGAATTAATATAAGATTTGTACTGAAAATTTACAATGATATGATGACGTATAACAGTCATGGCTACAATAAAGACAAAAAAATAGACAGGAGAGGAGGAGAGGAGAAAGGAGGCCGGCTTAGTTCTCATCCTTATTCCGTGATGATCGATTGGTAGTTGATTAATTATCGACTGGTGAAGGTTGACGATTAATTTAAATTGAGAAAAAAGATATAATTAAAGCAAATTATAGGCTATACATGAAAATTTCTCATACTAGAATTATTTTATTCAATTGTCATCTTCCAACCCTATTGCGGAATATAAAAATCGCGATTAAAAAAACAGGTGTTGATCGTAAAAGGGTGAAAATTTGGAGTTGTATGTATTTTTCAATGCTAAATCTTAATAAAATAAAAATAAAAAATTTTGTCAAAAAATAAAAAAAAAATATTTAGGGGTGGGTCACCTTTATCATTGAGGGGTATGAAAAATAGATGTTGGCTAATTCTCAGACCTACCCAATAAGCACACAAAATTTTATGAATTTTGTGTGTGAGTTTGGTAACAAACACCACGACATGAGAATTTAATATATTAGATATTGTTCCTATAGCTAGTTTTTTTTAATGGGTGATAATGGAATGGTAACCACGCCTGCGCTATCGGGATACGCTGGCGGGGCATCAGTGAAGGATGATAGGTGAGGATGAAGCAGGTCAGTTGGCCCATTGTGATGAATTTAACAAGAATTGTTCATGATGGTTTCCAGGGGGAACCACGTGGAGGTCGACCTAATAGGGCATATTGCTAGCAATGGCGCTGTCAAACTCCATTGCTAACAATCCCTTTCCCCCCTCCTATAGCTAGTTATGTATTATGACAAGTTAACCTACCAAATCATCCCTGATGAATTTATCATAATGGGGCAACTATGGAGTATTATACACACCTATGTGTATAACAGGTGAGTATGAAGCCTAGCTTTATACTCACCTGTTATTATTAATTAGTACCCTGTCAGCACACATCAATAGTTCCAGATGGGGTTTTTTTTTGATGGGTGAAAATGGTATGGTAACTCCGCCTGCGCTAATGGGATACGCTGGCGGAGCACCAGTGAAGGGTGATAAGTGAGAATGAAAACAGGCCAGTTAGCCCATCATGATGAATTCATCAGGAATTAATCATGATAGTTTCCAGGGAGATCCGTGAGGAGGTCGTCCTGGTTGGGTATATTGCTAGCAATGGGATTCTCAGTCTCCATTACTAACAATCCCTTTTCCCCCTCCCAGATGGGGTTACCATTGTGTACTTAATAAACTGATGTAGCATTGTCAAAAGGTGGTTTAGATTCACCTAGCTCATAAGTTGATCTCGTCCATGGATTATACACTGAATCTTACTTGTAGGCATTTCTTATACTGTCACATGTCAAGCTATTATAAAATTAAAATTGTATATATATTTAAGTAACTTGATGTAACCTGAATGTCTCTGCTCATAAGGGGAGTATTCATTGGTATATTAAGATAAGTATCTATGATTTGCTTGTACATTGTGAAGGTGAGATATACTCTAATGTAATTTAAATTGGACTTCTAATTTCACACTAAATTTCTCATTTGGACCATTGTTACTCTGTCATTACTATTTCAAGAATTATAATATTATGTATTCTTTTTTGTCTAGATATGATATCAGGGCATATTGATATTACCCACCTTGTTGAGAACATGGCAGGAGTTTTAACAAACATAGAAGCAGAAAACAGAGAAAAAGGAATGAGGTTTTTCACAAAATTGTTAAAAGAACTTCCAATGGATTATTTGTCCGAGGCACAGATAAAATTTATAGCCAAATTTTACACAGATAGGCTCAAAGATAATCATAGAATTATTCCATCTGTGTTAGAAGGATATCTAGTTATAATTGAAATGAAACATTACAATATGAATAATACAGGAGAATTTTTGACCATGCTCTTCAGAGAGGTCCCCTGTCAGTCACAAGTGAGACAAGACAGATTTAACATATATTTAATAATACAAAAGTTAATGGAGAAGGATCTGGATTGTAAGTTTTTTATCTTGTTTTAAATACTTGTATTGTATTGTAAAATCTTTATTGTACATAATTTATACTGAATCCATTAAAAGATATAATATACAATAGGGAACTTATCCCATAAATAGATCTCATACAGTCAACCTTTGAGAAGCTGAAAGAAAACTATAGAATGTACAAGGGTAAAAACCATACAGTTAAAGATAAACTATATTGTTTATATAATATTTACTAGAAACTATTGACAATAAAATAACATTCTTGTTTGTCGATTCATTTAATAAATTAATTTGTTCTGAAAAACTAATTTGTATAATAAAAAATTTCAATATATCAAGAGAATAGGGTGAATATTATAATTATTAAAAAGTTTAAGTTACTATTATTAGGACACAAGTATATATTCAATAATGTTTTATTTCATATTACAGATATGAAAGTCTTGGGACCAGATTTTGTTTATGGCATCATTTCTGCCATGGATGGTGAAAGAGATCCACGCAACTTGATGTTTCTATTTACATTTCTACCATACTTTTTAAAGCATGTACCACTCGGACATTTAGTAGAGGAAATGTTTGATGTAATATCTTGTTATTATCCAATTGATTTTTACCCATCTCCTGATGACCCAGCTGCAGTAACACGACAGGATCTAGCTTCAGCATTAGCACCATGCTTATGTGCTGTACCTGAATTTGCAGAGCACTGTTTAATATTATTAGTAGAAAAGCTGGATTCCAGCTTAAGGTTGGCAAAAATTGATTCTTTGAAGTTATTGGTTAGTTTTATTATTACTTGGTAATATGTATTATTCTATATTAGAATTGACTAAATTCAATATTGTATCTGGTTATTCCAATAAACTTCTATACAATTGTAAAATGCATTAACAATTACTTTTCAGGCGGAAAGCTGTAAAACATTTAAGGCAGAGAGTTATGGACCTTTTCTGAAAACTTTATGGTCATCAATTAATAGAGAAATATCTCACAAAACTGATGATGAACTCAAAATGGCAGCTCACGAAGCTTTGTCAGCTTTAGTTGCTAATTTGGCGACAACAACAAACACAGATCAAGCATTTGAAAATTTTACTAAAGGAATCCTAATTTCTATGCAAACTGCTGTGGCTGAAGCAACTACAGTTGCACATTTTGTTCAAGCAACTAAGGTGCTATTAACTGTTGCAAATGCTTCTAAAGAATCTTGCATTATCATCACAAAGTCTATGATACCAGCTACAGTAGCATATTATGGATTTAAAACATCTTCTAAATTGCAAATTGCAAGTTTAGATTTCTTAGGTGATTTATATGGTCTAGCTAAACATTGGCAAATATTAGAAGAATTGCATATTCAAATAAGTGAGATTCCCCAATTGTGTCTCACTGCAGTCAGTCAGCAGTCAAAGGACTATCAGATAGCTGGTTTCAAAAATTTAATAATAGTAAAAAATGTTTTACCAAGTGACCTTGTGTTACCATTTGTGGAAATTCTAATATATAATATACAACATTCCCAAGATAATGACTTACTTGGTGTTAGTGTTGAAACAATTCATGCTATAGCAAGAAAATATCCAGAGCTTATTATGAATATCGTAGTTAAAGGCAAATGTGATTTAAATAATTTGACACAAGATAAGACAGCTTTACAGAAACGTTTAAATTTGTTATCAAATTTAGCCAGTATTGATGATTTTACTAAAGTCATTATTGAAGAGATGCTGAAAATTATAAACGCTAATGATGTGGAAGCTTCCAAAGTAGTTGAAGCATTAAATGAATGTATATCAAATAATAGTTTATATTCAGATAAAAAAGTAAATCAAATTGAGAGTGACCATGGTCTTGTTGATTCTATACTAGTTTGGATATTAAAAGAGATTGAAGGACCCCTGGAATCTTTGATACATGGTTTTACGTTAATATCTAATACAATATGTAGTTTACCAAGTGAGAAGCAATTGATAATATTAACAAAGCATGCTCCAGATATAATAGAGAGATGTAAAGAACGTGAAGTATATTATCTTGTATTGGAATGTTTATATACTCCTATCAATCAGGATATATATAATTCTAAATTTGAAGACATTATACGTCTTTCTCTAAATTTGTCCTTGCATAGTGATAATGAATTAGTAAGAACAAGGTCTTGTGTCTTGATTGCACATTTTCTTAATAAGGCGGAGTATGGACAAAAGTTTGAACTCCTCTATGAATTGTTAAAGAGTTATCTAACTACTTGCAGTAGAGATGATATGGAATTATGTCCAAGACTGATTATACTGTATGGTTGGGTCACAAAATCTTTGATTATGAGAGGCAGTGATTTATTCCTTTTCTGGTTACAAAAGGTATGTATATAAAATAGGTATTTAATTTGAGATTATTGTTTCTAAAAATAAATGATTAACTCTGTACTGTATTCTCATTTACAAAAAGAATACACAAAATCCATTTAGAAATGGAAAAATACAGATATATTTATATTTTAAACACTTTAAAATTCCAACAATATTTTGTGTTTAACAATGGAGTTATATTTTAGTAATTTAAGTTTAGATTATTTAAGTTTTATTAATGCTGTATCTGCCATATGTAAAATTTTTAAAAATTATTACATAAATGTCATTATAAATTATTTAAAATACCTGTGTACTTAATTCTACTACTTTAATTGTAAAATATTTTTATTATTTTTAGATAATGGTGACAATGTCTAGTCCAGTGTATTGTAAAGAGAGTTCAAAAGCTATTCAGCTTATTATGACTGATCACACAGAGTATTTGAACCAAAAATACCATTGTAGAACGAGTCTCTTGTACAAACAGAGAATGTTCCAGAGTTTTTCAACCCTCACTGAGAAACTAGGCACTTTAAATGAGAGCACAAAAGAACATTACTTATTAAGTTGGGCTTATGTACTTGAAAAAGTGCCAAAAAGTGTACTTAACAATGAAGCAACAAGGGTAACTACTTTTTCTTTTTATGTTTAAAGATATATTAGATACTATAAATAAAGTTGACTGAAAGAGGATGTAGCAATAAGATTGCCTTTTGTACAAAAAAAAAAAATTTTATGTTTTCAATAAAGAATAAATAATTAAATTATGTTGTATGGTACTATTCATGTCTGTAGGTGATGTTTTTTTTAATGTATAAACATGATTTGTAACTGCACCTTCACTATTGGTATATGTTGATGGGGCACCAGTGATTGTATATAGGCGAGCATGAGGTTGGGTCAGTCAGCCTATTATGTCAAATTCATTCAGTATTAATCACGATGATTTCCAGCTAGGATTGCATGGAAGATGATCAGATAAGAGTATATAGCTAGCAATGGAGCCATAAGATTCCATTAATAACAATCCATTCCCCCTATATGTGGTTATAAACTTTCATAAACAATAAAAAAAAAAACTTTACAATCCAATATTTTATGGAACACCATTAATATAAATTGACAGTTATTGGTCTGTATTTGATCGAATTTATTTAAGTATATCTATAACTTGTCTACATTTTTATTTTATTTTTACTTTTATGTTAGTTTTAAGGGTAAGTTATTCAATAGGTATGTTGCTTGATAGCCACGATACTGTTCTAAGGCTACAGTTACTATTTCCCTCGAGATTTGTTTGTTAACTATCCAAAGTGATATAAAAAGTCTGCACATGTTTCTTATGATAGCTATTGTACAAGTTCCTTTTTTTTTATTTCAGATTGTGCCTATAGTAATAGATTCTTTGGAGTACGACAATAAAGACTTGTTAATTGTTATGATAGATGTGTTGTGCCACATTGTATTAGGAAAACATTACCTTGTGGCAGACAGTTTACAGACTATATTACCACGGCTGGTGAATCTATCTAAATATGTAAAATCTATGGTAAGTTTATTTAAAAATTCTATGTCAATATGGGATCTAGTCTAGTCTAGTCTTTTATATAGTTTTTTTTGACGCCAAATTTCAAGATGCTGCAACGTCTCGTAAACGCACCAAGAGATAATAAAGAAACCAACTTTTATATTTATAATATTAATAAGAATAAATATTTTTCTATTTCAGGACGTCCGAATAAAAAGCCTGCAGTGTCTGTACGACATAGCCAATTCGTACCGTACAATGCTGCTTCTTCCACATAAACAGGATATATTACTCGATTTAGCGCCATCTCTCGACGATAAGAAGAGGTTGGTACGCAATATGGCGGTACGAGCACGGACACGTTGGTTCCTAATTGGCGCCCCTGGCGAAATGAAAGAAGACTAAATCGGTTTTAATCGCTTATTTCTATACAAATAGAAAATTAAAATGCAAATGTACAGTTATGTTTGAAATTATAATTTTTAAGTTATTTTAATCTATGTTTAGACGACACGTATTAGCTTTTAGAACTGACATTATTTTTTCCTGTTATAGGTACATAGTTGTTAATATGCTAGCACGCATTATGAACATGCCCCTCAAACTTTACTTCTTTTTTATATAGTTTCAATTGTCTTAGTTTCCTTCCACTCAAATTCAACAAAATTTTTCTTGTAATTATTCATTCTTTTTTTCTGTCTTTATGAAACTATTCCCAAACAATGAATGAGGCGAAATATGAAAATAACTTTTCTAATTAAATTTTTATTTGGAATCCATTGTCCGAAACATTAAATTGATCTGATCTGAATCTTCTATAATTCTTATATATGTTTAGTTAAGACATAGTTAATGTATCATTATATAATTTTATAAGCCAAAAATATAGTGTTGCTATTTTATATTATTTTAATTGAAACTAATTGATGTAAATTTCGGTGCTTTTTGTAAATTGTACAATAAAATTGTAAACTATTTTAATGTTGAATTCATTAATAATTTTACGTCATTCCCTGTTATGTTCTATTCGTATACTTTTTAAATAATCGCGTATTATTTATTTTCTAAATTTAAAGATTTCTCGATGTAGTTCATAGGATGGACAGAACACTACTAGATTCTGGAAATTATATGATTTTATTTGATTTATACAACTTACGAAATAAATGAACATGTCTAAATACAAGAAGGCGGCCTTGTTTCTAAATTGTAATCTTTTAAGGCAACCTTAACTTTAATGGATTTCGTTATTGAACAAGTAAGCGTTTAAATAGTCTAAAGAAAATAATTAAGAGTATTATAATATACAAGCTATATTCCGCAATTTCTCCTGCGTGAATCAGTTTTTTATGGAACTTAGAATGGCAAACAAGCTGACGGCTCACCTGATGGAAAGTGGTAACCGTCGCTTATAGACACGAGAAGTACAATGGACATAACAGAGTATACTGTTGCGCCTATGATACCCACCATGCGTTGCCATTTTGAAGACTTGCGTGTTATTCTTCTGTACCTTAAAATTAGATGTATTATTACTGTGTAGGTATGTTCGTATGTTGATGCCCTTAAATTCACTGCCATGATCACTTAACAATTTTAACTTAAAATGTTCATCCCACCCTTCAAACCGAAACAGCCATGCAAACACAACTGCTCGGTAAAAACACGAATGGGGGAAAAGTATAATTAAGTATAACTGTATGTATTAATTATATTATTAAGTGTAATAAGTATACAAAATGACCTATATGTTAAGTGTACCAAATTTCGTTAAAATCCGTTTATAGTTTTTTGCATGAAAGAGTAACAAACCTCTTTATAAATGCTTGCATTTATAATAATTTATATAATAGTAGATAATAATAGATTATTTGTGATAGTAGGATATTATTATATCTTACCTTAATTAAATTTAGAGATTCTTAGGTTGTGGAATGAGCTCCCTGCCGAGGTTTTCCCAAGAGACTACAGCATGGGGTTCTTCAAAAGGGGGATTATGGGTTTCCTTATCGAACAATAAAGCGTTTAAATAGTCTAAAGAAAATAATTAAGAGTATTATAATGTACATACATGTAAAGAGGTTTCTTCAGGGTCGGCAACGCACGCGCAATACCTCTGGTATTGTAGGTGTTCATAGGCTACGGTAACCACTTACCATCAGATGGGCCGTAATGCTTGTTTGCCACCTAAGTGATATAAAAAAATAAAAAGAAAATAGTTATTTTTGTTTCTAAAATTGAATTTTAGGTATGGCTCGCAAATTGATCATTTTTCGAGAAATTTTTTAAAGATTTACATTGACGTAAGAATTACCAGAGGAAGACTTTGTACAAAAGTCGATTGCTTGGGTACCTCTGTCCCATTCGTATTTCAACCGTGAAGCAGTTGTGTTTGCATGGCTGTGCAAGTCGATTTGAAGGGCGGGATATGGCAGTGAATTTACAGGGTACAGAGGAATAACACCCGAGTCATCAAAATGGCAACGCATGATGGGTATCATGGGCAGTATTCAAACGCAACAGTATTCTCTGTTAAGTCCATGGTACTGCTCGTGTCTATAAGGGACGGTTACCACTTTCCATCTGGTGAGCCGTCAGCTTGTTTGCCATTCTAAGTTGCATAAAAAAACTGATTCACGCCGTCTTCAAAATGGCAACGCATGATGGGTATCATGGGCGCAATTGTATATTCTGTTATGTCCATGGTACTGCTGATGTTATAGGCGACGGTTACCACTTTCCATCAGGTGGGCCGTCAGCTTTTTTGCCATTCTAAGTTGTATAAGAAAAACGTAACTGCTGTAAATAAATTCAAATTATTTTTAATTCCTATTTCATAAAAGAAAATGGAAAACTCTAGAATTAGCAAACGTCGTTCATGAATAGGGAGCTGCGGTGGTGAACATCCATTTAAAATAAATCCTGAGATAGGACATACCGTGGGATTAGTGGGAACAAATCTCTGCCCACTAACAATTTGATTTAGATTTGCATAATCTCTTATCACAATGCGAACGTTTGCCGCACTTTAAATGTTAATGAAGGGACGCTAAAGTGGTCTTTTTTCGATTACGACAAGCAATGGGTTGAATTGGGGATTTGTCATCTTATATATAAAACCTCGTTTCACGGTGTTTGTGGTCAAACTTGTCCAAAACGGCTCTGTCGATTTCTATGATTTTTTTTTATGTACATTTTGTATGGGTATGTAGGTATTAGGTCGAAAAGTATGTTTTATACCGTTAGATGATTAGGAGTCCCTATCCAGAAAAAAATATATGATAGAAAAACGTTTGTCGAGTTAGTGAACATATAACCAATTACTGTTTCTTACCTTAGGTACTGGTAGGTATTTTGCTTTATATTGCCGTTTTTTGTAAGTTTTAAATATATCCGATATAATACGGCCGTTAACTGTTCATTGCTGAACATAGGCCTTCAGATAAGAGGAGGGGGGGGGGGTTATTTTGCTTTATATTGCCGTCTTTAGTAAGTTATAGATATATTATCAGCCCTTAAATGTCCACTGCTGCTGCCTCCCTCTAGGGGGGGTATTGCCAGTAATTGCCACGCTTGACAGGCGGGTAGGCAAACGTAGTTAGCCTTTGGTGATGTTTTAAGAGGGACGTTGCTGTCCATCCCTCGCTCTCCCTTTGTCGCCTCTTTCGATACCCACGGGAAAGGAAATGGTGGCCTGTTCTATGCTGGGACCACTTGGGGAACGTTTGAAAAATACTACAGCATATTAGAACTCCCGTGGGAATCGTAAAAGGCGACTTATTTTGTTTATTCCTTCATTGCTCCTCCATCATTAAACATGATGATATTGCCTGTGTTTGGCAATCCACTTGGTCACTATTACTACTGCCTATAACTACTGGATAATGTCTCCCAATTGTATACTGCCATAGGGAACGGCCCTAATCTTGTGACAGTCTATGGGGGAGGCCTATGTTCAGCAGTGGACAGAAAACGGCTGATATGATTATGATGATGAGATATGAGATATACTGAAGATTTTTAAAATTATGGCTATCTAATATAGTACCTGGGGGGAGAAAGGTATTGTTAGTAATGGAGACTGATCCCATTGCTAGCAATATACTCAAAGCAGGCCGACCTCCTCGCGGTTCTCCCTGGAAACTATCATGGTTAATTCCTGATGAATTCATCATGATGGGCTAACTGGCCTGTTTTCATTCTCATCTATCACCCTTCACTGGTGCTCCGCAAGCATATACCGTTAGCGTAGGCGGGGTTACCATACCATTTTCACCTATCAAAAACATAGTACCTGGATATAACAAATCAAATTGGCACTCGAAAAAGACCACAGCGAGTTGTTCATAAATTAAAAAAAAAAAAGATACATAGAATTGATTATGAATGGTTTTTCCTAAAGAATGCTTTAAATTATGCGTATAACATTTTCTCTTTTTTTTTTTATCATAAATCTTCAGATTAGTTACTGCGGGTGAATAAATCCAATTTAATACATATCTATTTATTCTCATCTGTAAGGACGTCTATTCACATTTTCGTTTGTAACGCAAAACGGACGAGGCTATGCAAATTTTAATTGAATCATCAGTGGGCAGGATTTGTTCTCATAATCCTGGGAGAGGTCTGACAGTATTCAGCCGCATTAGCTGTTCGGGGATTCATCTTCGGACTAACGCATTGTGTTACTGTCTTTAGAATACAAATCTTGTATTTGTCGACGTTTGTGGGCGTATCAACAATGGACACAATCTGGAATATTCCCTTTTGTAGCAGTTTGCCATAAAATTTTTCAATCTAAGATTTATACAAGTACATATTTATTTGCTTAATTGCTTATTTTTCTATAGATCCAATAAAGTTTTTTTTATTACATAATTACATTTCTGTTCTGCGTAGGGTTGATTAGGAGAGAATGCTATATAACATTAAGTCTGCTTTTTGTACCAGACATTTGTTTTGTAATGTGGTCAATAAAGAATAAATAAATTAATAAAAATTCAATATTGATTTGACTTTGCCTAATGCTTTGGAGGTAATAATGGATTTTATTGAAGCTTTCTCTATATGAATACAATTTCTGTAATGTCTATGAACAAGTACATACAGAGTTATTACTTAATTATTGAATTATCTAAGCATATGAAGCCACGTCTATTAATAAGTTAAAAAAAATAACATCAAGGTTCTGTTCTGGTGTGTGTGTGTGTGTGTGCGCGCATGCATGTGTGCGTGCGTGCGTGCTTGCGTGATTACGGGCGGGCGTGCGTGCTTGCGTACGTGCGTGCGTGCATGATGCCTGCGTGCGTACGTGCGGCCGCATGCACGTGCGCGTGCGCGTGTGCGTGTGTGTGTGTGTGTGTGTGTTTTAACAGATGAAAATGGAACGTAACCCCATTTGCGCTATTGGTATTTACACGCAGGCGAGGTACTAATAGGGGATGATAGGTAAGAATGAAATCAGGGTATTTTTTATAATAATTTGTGTGAATTTGACAACAACAATACTAGAAGGTTTACTTATTATACTAGGCAGACAATTTCAATTTACTAAACTCATCTAGGTAGGTATCTACTTAACCTTTTATTCATAAAATGGTCAAACCTCTCTCATAAACCTATTTTGGATATTGAATTGTTTTGTCCCTTTCTTTTATAGTAGATTCTCAATTTGAAAGTGTCAAAACAGTCATATTAGTCTTGTTATTACATTATGTAGGTATCAACTTGAAAAAATAAATTTTTCGTTAGTGTAGGTAGGAACATTCGTGTTTTCCCGAATATTCCGGGAGAAAATTAAACCGTCTCGCTGGCTTAGATTAGGAGATTACGTTCGGTGGGATCTCTTGCAAATTGTGCGTGTAACCGGAGGAATTGGATGAAATTACTGGTAGTTTTATATTGAAATAGGCAGCAGTAAGCCGTAATTTAACTTTTCTGGTAGGTTTCTAATTTTTGTTTTCCTAAATTTTTATTTTTTA